AAAATCTTCATCGAGGGACTCTTCGCGTGCTCTCGAATAGTACGTAGACTCTGCTCCATCGTCGACGTATCCGTCATCTCCGACGTAGTGGCCGGAGAAGGGCTGCTTGGCGGGGGCCAAGTTACAGGTGGAGAACTTTGAGAGGACGTAGTCGCTGCGGGAGGCTCTGAAGACTTTACTCACTTGCTGAATCAATCCAGGTCTTCTTACACCTGATGCACCAGAGATTAGTCCAAGTTTTTGTCATTCAGACGGATTCCTAGAGACCATCCATGCTTATTGGCCCTCACCCAATCGGCTGTGCCGATCTTTAGGACTCCACCAGAGAGAGGAATGCAAACGACCGCCTGCGATAAAAACAGAAGGCTTGATCTGTCAATGTAAAATGTCCAATATGGACTTGCGGAAAGTATGAAGTAATAACTTACAACCAAGAGACAGATTTTACGTGGCTCGGAGGTTGACCGGGTGTGCTCAGGAGTCACCTCGGTAAGCGTGACCGAGTACCTCGGGAAACGAGTCTATGTTCGGCCTATATCAGAATTGGTCCATCCATCGGTTCTCCCGTCTACCCGACTTCTCTCTCCGCATTAAATGCCTTCAGAGCCATCACTGAAACTTGCGCCACGTCCTCACTTAAAGTCTCACGTGTCTAAAAAGGTCAAGGGTTTCAGACAGAAGGGAAGAAAGACGTCCGCGGAAAAGCAAGAGGTATTAAGACGGGTCAGAGGTTGCCATGAGATGGTTACTACGATACCAGATGAACTCTGAGATCTCGAGGAGCTCTCTAAATATATCGGACCCCGTCAATAATGTCCGAGAAGACGATGATGATCAATCACCTCTCTCTCTCTCTCTCTCTCACACACACACACACACACTCACTCACTCATTCACTCCCTCCCTCTAATAACCAGGTAAATCAATGCATGAAGTGGACGCTTTCTACCTCTGCATGCATAATTCACTAAATGTGTTTAATCACATCAACAACGGATTTCATCTCTCTCTCTCTCTCCCCTCGCCTCTCCCCGCATGAAGCGGAGCATCAATCCATGACACGGAAATGCTTGCACCTTACCGAAGATAGCTCTAGAAAAGATCATGCTATCCACACCATTCCCCCCTGAAAGTTACACACCCCCTTGTATAATGAAAGCCTTCCCTGGTAGCCTGAATGAAAGAGAGAGATAAAGAGACCTTAGGAGTTCCAAATAGGAAGTAAAAAGTTATGGAGGTTTAGTCCGAAAATGTTACAGATAATACTTTCTGTATCAAATTAGAGAAAAATATTGTAAAACATAAAATTTTGAAATAAAACCGAAAAATAACATAAATTAATGATGTTCATCGGGGCCAGGACTTGTTAGGCAAGAAGAGAGGGAGTGGAAGAGATATGAGACAAAAGATATCGACTGTGAAAGCGGGAAGAAAAAATTACCCTGAAAGACAAAGTCAACACCGACATAAAGAGAAGACACAAAAGAAATCGAGAGTCAGAAGACGAAACGAAAGGGAGAGATGGAGAATCATCAAGCATCACAGTGGTTCCAAAGAGAAACAACCACCGGCAGAGAGTAAAGGGCGAGTTGCAAGAGAGAAGAAATCGACGGTGACAGTGTGTGGAGAACTGTAGGAAGGAAGAAATCACGGGGGAAAAACAATGAAGATATGAAATCATCAGGGACAGCAGCAAGAAAGGACTAGAAAGGGAAAGAACTCGACGTAAACAATAGAAAGGGGATGTAAGAAAGTAGAAGAAAGAAATCACGGTAGAAATCACAGGTCGTCACTGTCCGATGGGAAGAATAATTCAAGGATTCTTCCATGGTCACTCCTATAGATGCGCTGCTGCATGTGCAAGGTGACTCTCTCTCTCTCTCTCTCTCTTTCTCTCTCTATCTCTCAAGTACGTGATATGGTACTCTAGATGGGTGGCTCTTCGCGGAATTCTCCAAATTTAACAACCGGTGTTCGCGCGCTATTTGTGTAATGAGGCTCTCTCTCTCTCTCTCTCTCTCTCTCTTACTAACTATCGATTTGCCTGTCTATTATCCACTTCTCAGAACTTATACGGTAAAAACTTGTCTCCCTTATGCACACTATGCCTGCTTCCATCCAGATTACGCATGAAATACATCACAGACGAGAAACCTCGATGATGGCAAGAAACGAAACCAATGCATTACGAGGGGGAAGAAGACGAGCGTGCATTAATATGCTGCCGGAGAAGAGCAGGACAATTGGTTGTAGTTTTTGCGTACGTTATTTTTTCCACAATTCTCCTATCCTAAATGTTTACGAGAGGAGTTTAACCTGGAGAAAACGAGAGAGAGGGAGTAGAGAGAGATGGAAACAAGGCGGAGGTGCACTGTGCTTACGCGATACCCAATGGGTAGGAGAAGGAGATGTACATGAGGAAGAACCACTCGGACTCGGTGAGGTCCTCCGGCGAGAGGGCCTCCCAGGGCCTGCGCGGCGGCTCTAGATTTTTCTCCGCCAGTAGCGACTGGTAGAGGTCCTTGAGCTGTTGCGCTCTATGCAGAGGTTCTTTCTCGTCCACGGCCGGCCCCACAGCTTCCTCCGTCTGCTGCACAATCTTCCTCGTCTTGATCACCCCGTTGTAGCACCCACCGTCTATGACAGAACCCTTTGTTCGTGATGCCAACCAAGAGGAAGATAGATAGATACATATATAAATAGAGTGGGAGAGAGAGGGAGAGATTTTTAGGAAAAATGATGGATTATGAGAGTTAAATAGGAGAAGAGGAGGGGAGTGATTTCACGAAACACGTGAAGAGTGAGAAAGAAAATTTCTATATCTTACATAAATGGCTTAAATAAGCCGCGCCATTTGACCCACTAAAAACCAAAATAACCGTAACTTTTGGCCTTAATTATATATCCTACGTAACTGCCTTATGTGACCCCCGCCATTTGCCAAAATTAATAAATGCTTAAGACGGCGCGAGGAAGACGCTAGTGCAATAGTGCTAACTGACCTGCCCAATTTTCGAGTTTCTCTCACCATCATTGCATGTATACAACAGGACGGTGATAAAGAAAGTAACGTCACATCAATGATAACACTGGTCCCCTCTCTCTCTCTCTCTCCCTCCCTCCTCTCTCCGTTGGTACGCTGAGCCGCAGCTTAACATAGGTGGAGGAATAACCTTCTGTGTGAATTACACGATATGTTTTTATGAATTCATATATTTTAATATATAACCGGGACAGCTCGATGGCGACGCATCCCTGTTCCACACGAGTCGGTGTGAATTACGTTCCAATACTGGGCCTTCTATTAAATAAATAAACTTACAGAGGACCTACTTTTCAAAAAGCATCCAAGATCTTGCCTTTCTGGGGCCCACGAAGATCGACTAGATGCACGGATGCTGACGCCCGAGGAAATGGGAACGGGACCGCACAAACACGGGCATGGCAGGTCCCTCTCACCGGCCGGTCAAACTTCTCCCGTGAAAATATATTCCAAATATCTTTAATATGCATATATCAAAAAAATCAAATTTAATAGAAAAAATTATACGGCTAGATATTAGTTTTTAATATCTAAAAAAATGTCATAATTATTTTAATATGTTGGTTAATAGAATGCATCTCATGAGAAGGAAATTAGAGAACCACACTAATCAGCCAAGCTAGAAAATAAAAACTATCTTTAATGAAGGTTGATTCTATGACATCAAACTAAGCTAGAAATTTTATTAATTATAATAATACAGTTTATGTTATTAGTATAAGAGATTGTACGAGATATAACTAATGGATCATTATCAACATCAGATCGTTAACATCTAATTACATCGGTTCTCATAAGTGAGTCTCTGAACTTTCTTCATCAGTCATATTGGTTCCCAGAGTGCATTAGGAGCAAGGAGGGGTGGAGAGATAAGACCCACAAATGGAGCCATATCAAAATGGCGACATAGCAAGAATAATGAAATCTCCCATCTTGAAGTACCCAGATTTGAACCAAACTGAATACCATAAAATCATCTATGACGATTAGGATTCAAACTAAATCCCTCATTTCAATCCCATTCAGATCTTACTCTCTGGAGTCAATTATTGGATAAATCAAATCTTGTGAACTTCGTGATGATCATTAATGTCTTATAGAATATGAATAGATTCAAACTCAAATTCGGAATCTACAAGGTATGACCCACTTCCAATCGCATATAGCTAGATAAGGCCTATTCTAAACATGATTAGAACACTGAAAGTATTAGTTAGAATTTTCTGGAGCATGTTACGATGAATTTGGAATAAGCTACTTGCTGTGATTATATATTTTTATATTTTTATTTATCTAATAACAGGAACCCATGTCAAAAGTGACACATGGGGCACACTTTCCAACCACAACTCCTAATAGTACAATATGAAGAATGTAAGACTTTACTAGGAAAGAGGGAAGTATCAATGGAGGAGAGAGAGAGGCTATGGTTGGTGAAAAGGTATAACAAATGTCACTTCATAAACCTTGGGAGAAGAGAGAGAAACAAATAGACTAGTCACTAACTCTGCGTAGGTCTATGGGGTTGTATTAAAGTACTAAGGCTTTGCTTAAGAATGCTGTCAAGAATTAAGAAAGAAAGAATGCGATTTCCAAAGTTTCTATATAGAAAACTAGTGTCATTTCTCGTTTGATGACTCTTTAACAATGACCAACAAGTCCACAATCATTGCAAGTCATAGAATAACCTGATATTAATTACTATAAGTCATAATGGAAGATTTAGAAATAAAGAAAGAAAGAAAGAGTTATAGTAGTCATGGTAAATATTTCATAAGAAAAAAAGAGAGCAAAGGTTTGCAAAACGAAACTATTTCCATCTTTTCACATTATAATATCCTTCAAAAGTTATCACATCCCGAAAGTTGTGAACATCAAACTCTCGTGAACATTTTCCAACCAAAACAAACAAAAAATTCTGAGATGTCAGCCAGAAATTATGGATTTTACTACAGCACTAAGGCAATAATTGGTAGAGCGCTTTCTTTACCTGAACAATGCTCGATCTCTTTCCATTAATTTCTTTCACCTGAAAAAAGGGGGAACAAAATTCGAATGTTTAGTGATTAGTTTTATGGGTCCGTGCAAAATACACGCATTCTTATCATCATAGATGAATTCCAGATGCTGGGTACTTGGCTACTCTGAACCAAGCTAATGAGCATAAAGGTGTCAACTTTAGTATCTATGCCATCAAATATAGTGATGGAAAGGTCATATTTACAACTTTTTACGCAACTGATCCACTCAATCACAGGTAATCAGCTAATATTTGAGAGCTTGAACTCTTAAGTGCCCAATTAACTTCGTATCAGAGCAGTAGCCCATACCTTTGCTCTTATCTCCACTTTGAAGTTGCCATCAGTTGAAGCGGATGTAATAGAGGTAGTATCCAACCGAAGCTCTTCAAGTACTTCCATGATCCTAACTAGAAGCCCATCTACGTTTTGACACTTCATCTCCACGAGCATGTCCGTTTCAATTACGGACACATGCAGGCTGCCACCGTTGACCAACTCGCTGTCATTACACGAAGCTCTCGGCCTCTTCCTGCCGGCTCTGGTCGTCACACCAGTCGCTTCCGACCTCCTCTTAGGGTTCGTCGTCCGCTCTCCGCCATCAGAAGCGAAGACATTAGGTGCTATTGTTGTCTTCTCGCTCTCGATTTGCCTGATTCGGGCTTCATTCTCTTCCGTGCGTCTCAGTAATTGCTTTATGTAGTTGACCGTATCACCCAGTACGGAAGCCTTGTCCACCTGCGATCATAAAGGAAGTAATTAACATACATTCTTATCGTTAAAAATTAAGGACTTTTCAATCCAAAACAAGTAGTGTCGAATAAAATAAATTCCAACGCTCACTAAAAAAGTTGCTTTGGGGGTATTTAACGTGTTATTATTCTGGTACGTTCCGTACCTTGGTCCCGGATGGCACCAGTGATCGGAGGGCGAGGAACTTCTCGTTGAGTTTCTCCCTTCTTTTCCGCTCCGCCAGAACATGCTTTCCACTCAGCAGATCCTCCCCCTCCGTCGACTTTGGCGATCTCTCATCTCCCCAACCGCCATAGAGATAGGGTATGGTGCGGAGGACCAGCTTAAGTGTTTTCTGAGGATGCCCCCATTGCTGCATGAGAAGGGGAACTTCTCTAGGGCTCCAGGGGGAGAACGCCGATCTCCGGCGGTCATCGAGGAGTCCACCGCAGTCAGAGAGGTCCTCCGGTGGCCTATTTTTCCCTACAGCGGCTACATTATGCGTAGTCGTCTCCTCCGGGATCTCAAAATCTTCAACGGGGGATTCTTCGCGTGCTCTCGAGCAGTACGTAGACTCTGCTCCATCGTCGACGTCTCCGTAATCTCCGACGTGGTGGCCGGAGAAGGGCTGCTGGCCGGGGGCCGGATTGCTGGTGGAGAACTCCGAGAGGGCGTAGTCGCTGCGGCAGGCTCTGAAGACATTCTTCACTTGCTGAATCAGATCCGGGTCTTCTTCAACCTGATGCACTAGAGATTAGTCCAAGTCTCTGACATTCAAACGAAGGATTCCTAGATACCATCCATGCTTCTTGGCCCTCACCCAATCGGTTGTGCCGATCTCCAGGACTCCACCAGAGAGAGGAATACAAACGACCGTCTGCGATAAGAACACAGAGCCTGGTCATCTCTGGAGCTAGTTGTCCAATAGGGTCCTGCAGAGGGGTTCAGACAGAACGCCCGGCAGAACTGAGGAGATTACCTGAATCTGAGCGCTCTGGTACGGAAGGCCCAGCATTCGAGCAAGATAGGCGTCCACGGAAAAAGGAGAGGTATAAAGACCAGTCAGATGTTGGCAAGAGATGATTTCCACCAGATGAACTTGGAGATTTCGAGGAATTCTCCAAATTCCCTAAATATATGGTACCCCCCGCCCCGCCCCCCCCCGTCAGCAAAGTACGAGAAGACAATTAAGATCAGTCATCTCTCTCTCTGTCCCTCCCCCCCTCCTCCCAACACACAAGACCACAGTGAGCAGAAGGATCAATGTATGACGTGAAAATACGTCCCCGCGTTAGCCAGGATAACTCACCAATCCTATACGATCCCACCGACAACAACACATGATAATCACCTGCTCTCTCTCTCTCTCTCTCTCTCTCTCGCTCACTCACTCACTCCCTCCTCTAATGACCAGGTAAATCAATGCATCAAGTGGATACTTCTTAGCTTTGCATGCATGAGTCACTAAATGTGTTTTTGATCACATCAACAACAGAATAAACGAGAACGATCATCTCTCTCTCTCTCCCGTCGCCTCTCCCCGCATGAAGCGGAGCATCAATCCATGACATAGAAACTACTTGTACCTTAGCGAGGATGGCTCTAGAAAAGATCTTGCTATCCACACCATTCGCCCCTGAAAGCCACACAGCCCCTTGCGTCTGGAACGCCCTCCCTGGTAGCCTGCGAAGGAGATAAAGAGAATTTAGGGGTTCCAAATAGGAAGTAAAAAGTTATGGAGGTTTAGTCCGAAAATGTTACAGACACTACTTTTTGAATCCAATAAAAGAAAAATATTCCAGAACAAAATTTGTGACATTAAACTGAAAAATAGAAATCCCTTGGGATGAACTTACTAGCTTGATGACGTTCAACCGGGCCAGGTTTTGTGAGAAAAAGAAGAGGAGTGGTGGAGAGATGAGACATAAGAAATCGACAGTGACAGCGGGAAGAAAAAACTAGCAAGAAGAGAGAAAAAGTCAACACCGACATAAAAAGAAGACAAAGAAGAAATCGAGAGTCAGAAGACGAGACGAAAGGGAGATGGAGAATACATCAGCCATCACAATGGTTTGAAAGAGAAACAACCACTGGCAGATAGTAAAGGACGAGTTGAGAAGAAATCGACGGTAACAGTGTGTGGAGGACTGTAGGAAGGAAGAAATCGCGGAGAAAAAACAAAGAAGATATGAAATCATCAGGGACAGCAGCAAGAAAGGACTAGGAAGGGAAAGAACTCGACGTAAACAATAGAAAGGGGATGGTAAGAAAGTAGGAAGAAATCACGGTAGAAATCACAGGTCGTCACTGCCCAACGGGAAGAGTAATTCAAGGATTCTTCCATGGTCACTCCCACGGATGCGCTGGATCTGCAAGGTGGTTCTCTCTCTCTCTCTCTCTCTCTCTCTCTCTCTCTCTCTCGCTCTCTCTCTCTCTATCGATTTATCTGTCTGTTTGTATGTGTATTCATTCACCTTCTCAGAACGTATACGGTAAAAACTTATCCCCCTTATGCACCATGTGCATACTTCGACCCAAATACGTGTGGAACGGACCACCGACCAGAAAACTTAGTGATGGGAAGAAACAAAACCACCGCATTAAGAGGGGGAAAAAGACAAGCGTTCATTAATACGCTTCCGTCGAGGAGCAGAACAATTGGATGTATTTTTTATCTCCGTATTTTTTTCCAGGATTCTCGTATCCCTAAATATTTTACGAGTTGAGCCTAACCTGGAGAAAGAGAGAGGGAGAGTAGAGAGATGGAACCAAGGCGGAGGTACACTGTGCATACCCGATGCCCGGTGGGTAGGAGAAGGAGATGCACATGAGGAAGAACCACTCGGACTCAGTGAGGTCCTCCGGCGAGAGGGTCGCCCAGGACCTGCGCGGAGGCTCTAGATCTTCCTCCTCCGTCAATAGCGACTGGTAGAGGTCCTTTAGTTGTTGGGCTCTATGGAGAGGTTCGTTCTCATCGGCCGGCTCCCCAGCTTCCTCCGTCTGCTGCACCGTCTTCCTCGTCTTGATCACCCCGTTGTAGCACCCGTCCGCCCACGACAGAACCCTTTATTCGTGATGCCAACCAAGAGGAAGAATCACTCAGCGGTAGTAGAGAAAGGTAGAGATAGAGGAAGATAGATAGATACATAGATACATAGGGAGAGAGAGAGAGAGAGAGAGAGAGAGAGAGGATACCCTCGACTTGGGGAGAATTGCCAAAACAGGCTATACGTCCAATGAATGCTTAGCACCACGGCCTGAAGACGCTGGTGCAGCGTTTTAGGATTGCTATTGCTGCTACCGTTGGCGACGCCGGCGCTGCCCTGTTGGTCGACCATTGTGCCCCGGCTGCTCAGCTTGAGTATGTATAGAAATCACGCTGTCCGGAAGCAGTGCTGGAAAGACCTGTCACTGACTTCACCTACTTCGGCGAATGAAGTGGGGAAGCTTCCTTCGTCGGTGGATTTCATCATCGGGTGTGGGAGTCCGATTGTGAAGAACCTCCGAAGAAGGGGGGGGCGAGAGAGAGAGAGAGAGAGAGAGAGAGAGAGAGAGAGGGGGGGGGCGCGGAGTGAGGGAACCGGGGAGATAGTTATTGGGAAATCAGGTCGGACAGACGATGGATGGATGGATCTACCAGAGTATTTTGACTGGTGGTTCTACCAGACATCCAATCTCTCTCTGTCTCTCTCTCCGCGGCAGCCGACCCGTCCAAGTTTCCAACCTTCCCACCGTTTCTCTCTTAAACTAATAGGTGGAGTATGATATGCCCCCCTCTCTCTCTCTCCTCCTCTCTCTGCTGGTACGCTGAGCCGCAGAAGACAGGTGGAGTAATAGTCCTCTGTGTCATACTCAAGGCCACACCTTCTGATTTGGTATATTTGACTTAGTCCAAGATACTTTTTATAAATAAATATATTTTTAATACTTTTTACAACGTCAATGAGTAAAAAATCGGGACAACTCGATGATGCATGCCTATTCCACACGCGTCGGTGTGAATTACGTTCCAAAATAGGGCCTTTTATGAAATAAATAAGCATACAGAGTACCAACCTTTGAAAACAGCATCCCAGATCTTGCCTTCTTGGAGGTCCACGGAGATCAACTGGAGTACGGATACTGACGCAGAAAACAGCGACCGCACATTGCAGGTCATAGCAGGTCCCTATCACTCGCCGGTCAAACTTCTTCCGTGAAATGTATTCCAAATATCCCTAATATGCATATGTTAAACTCATCAAATTTAGTAAAAAAGGTTTCCTATGCCTAGATATTATTTTTAATATCTCAAATAATGTCATAATTATTTAATATGCCTATAAAATAGTGCCATTATAGGTTAATAAAATGCACCTCATGAAAGGGAAATTAGAGAAACAAATTAATCGACTAAACTAGAAAATAAAAACTGCCGTTAATGAACTTTGATGGACAGGTTACTACAATTCTATTTAAAAATTATGTGAAAATTATTTCTGAAGTGAAAATTTGATAGTTTTTCCTCATCCTAGGCTGTTGTTATAAGACACAAACTGAACCAAAGCCTTATTAGAAAAACTCTTGCAAAGGAGGAATGTAGGGCAAACTAATCTGATGCAAACCTTCAAAGAACACACCTATGAGTTAGCTATTGAAGAAAGGATAAATAATAAATTCCCTCACTTCTTAAAAAAAGTATAACATCGACGAATCTAGATTTATTACAACCATAGATATAATGAAGATTTAGTATGGAATTAAAATATCATATTATTTTAATTGAAATGTACTAATATTTGCTAGTAAAACGACAGTACATTGGGAATTATGTTCCTATCACAAAAAGAGTTTGATGAATGCCCACAAGTCAATTCAAATTAAAACATAAAAAAATATTTATTAAACAAGAGGGGAGCACATGAATACTTTACTTTCATTTAAATATTCAAAGTGATATTATTAGAACATTACTACAGCCACAAAATATATTGGGCCTTTATTTTAAGCAAATGAACTCAATTTTTGAAAGGTTCTACCAAACTCCTTTGGCCTACACTCAATTTTGAAGACTCCACTTCATTCTAATATTCTACCTCAAGAATATACTCCCGCGCTTCTAGAATTCATGATCTGCCTCCTCAATTGTGTCACAATCAAAAGGCAAGGTGGCACAATGCTCAGTTGATGAGAGTGGTGACATCAAGTCCCCCTTCGATTCCCAACATGCTCTTATGGGGATAAAAAACCCCTTACATTCCTAGAGTTTGCGAGCTTGTGACTACACAATTTAGAAGTCTAACCTTAGAATTTCTAGGTTCTTAGGTCTCTTCATTGCAAGCACACCACAAGTACCTTAATAGCCTATGTGACTATGTGACATTGCTTTGTTACCATAAAAGATTTTAATAATATGAGATAGTCATATGGAATATTTTGTCTCTAAGAAAAAATTTAAACTCAAATAATATCCTTAGACTATTAAAATTAATCCTTTGAATTTTGATGCAAAATTTATTTCATTATTTCAATTATCTGTCTAATGAGTGTAGGCCAGCCCACAGTATTTTCAGTACTTTTTTTCAAGTTTAATCATAAATATTGATGATTATGTTGAGCGAAATTTCACTAGATTTAAATTATGAAAATTCACACATTAGACATAATCTCAAATCATCATTCATTTTTTAGCATCTTAACCTCATAGAGATACTTAAAACTTTTCAAGATTAACACTTCTATTTTTTAACACTATTATTTCAGATTTTTATGAACATTTCATTTAAATTTATATACTGCATTTATCATAAAGTCATGAAGTAGCCTATCACTATACAACATATTATAATCCCAAGAATACCATTTGTGATTCCATAGCATAAAGATGGAAAAGTAATCAAGCATGGAAGGCGTCAAAATATGATGTAATTTTTTATTTTTCTTCATGTAACCTTTATTTCTTTCTATTTTTTCCTTTTTCTGTTATCATCATTACGAATTGGATTGACTTGGCTTGGACTATAGTTCACTTATGTGTTGACAGGTATGAAAACCAATCCCATAGTGAACCCAAGAATAACAAAACATGTTTATAAGGTAACTGGAAAATAGAAGACAAGTAATATGACAATAAGACCCATTTCTTAGGGCTCTTAATGTATCTGAAAATTGAGATGCAATACTGTATTAGATACCATGTTATACAATTAATGCACCTTCCAATATCAAAGATTCGGATATTTGTTTGGTTATCACAATTATAAGGAATTCCATTTTTTCCTATCTAAATTTCTCATCCTATGTAGTGTTTAGGATGCTCAAAGAATTACGTCCCCAAGTTACTATTTTCATAGCTAACTCCAGGGTATTTGTGTGTTCTATCCATTTTAGATTGACTTTAATGGGGACTTCGATGAGAGCTTCCAAAAGAGCTTGGACATGAGCTTGGATCTTTCAGCTGCTTTCCTTGGACATCGTTCTCAAAGGTAAATCCAAGCCTTTCTAAGATAACACGTGTCCTTCATGTCATGGTATTTTGGAATTTGTCAAAAATATACACCTTCTGTCTGCAATTCTTCTATCTAATCCACGGTTCTCCGAAGACCCTCCTCATTTTGTTTTCTGATACCCTTTCTGCTGCAGGTGGTCAGCATATGTGGTAGATGGAAAGATCAAGAACCTAAATGTGGAGGAAGCCCCTTCAGGTTTCAAGATTTCTAGTGCTGATGTAGTTCTGGATCAGATTTGATCCATTCTGGAGGGCACCCCTTCATCTACTCCCAGCAACACGTATCTCTGGGGAGCAACTGTTGACTTTATTTCTCTTTCAGCCTGTTTCTTTCACCTCTGATCACTGTTTTCCTCTCTCTGGCTCCTCAACTTCGGAGGTCAGCGTGATAATTTCCTTTGCGATCACAAAAATCTTGGATATCTTCCAGGGAGTGGATAATGTGGTTGATCATGCAAGCAAAGATCCAGACTGCATGATGATACGATGAACATTCATGTGGGATTATTCATCTGTCATTATTGGTCAATAACTACTCTTATGTTGTCCCTGCTTCAAAGAATTAGGAATCGCACCATGGTTGGTTATGCCTCTTGAATCTTCACTCTATGCTCCATCCATTCTATAACTTTTTTGATAGGGGATAATGGTCATAGGTTGTTGACTTTTGCTCTCTCATATCACTGATTACTCCGGCCAGACAAATTTGACGAAAAAGTAGACATTTTTATATGCTCTCATGATGCTGGGTGTATGAGTTGCCATTATCTATGTTTTCCCAACATTAGAAGCCGTTCAACCATAACCCTCTTCTTATATTCCCTTTCTACAGGCTCCAACATTACCATTATCATACTTATTTTCGTATCATCAGCGGTGCAAAATGTGAACAACTTAGCTTAGCTTATGTGCTGACCCTGTGGGCCTGCTTCGGATCTTACGGTGAATCTTCATTGCAACACTCTACAGCTTCGGATCAAGCCACTGAACCTAATCACTGGATTTCCCCGTCGGGGTCCTTCAAATTTCATGTTCTTATTCCCGAATCACGGGTTGTCTGATGTCACCTTGTTCTGGAATCTTCCAACCCCATGATGGAAATACATGTCTCACTCATAAATGTCAATGCTGCCTCTTACGCTCTGGTAATCAAACTTCCCCCATAGGCGAATCATGGTGCTGTTTGAATGCTGTTTATTACCTAATTTGGTGCCATATATGCAAACCCGCCATGGAATGCGTGTGGATAAAATAATTTGCCCTCATTTTGTCCACAAGAATCGAAAGATTCCCAGAAGATTACCCAAAACGCGTCAACACTAAAGAGGAGTTACATGAGGAGAAGCTTGGGGAGGATCCATGTCGTAATATCATTGCCATGGCTCTCTTTAGTGTTTGATCTCGGGTAAAACTTTTGAATGCGGACTTCAGGTCTAGATATTATATTAAGATCACATGAAAAATACCAGCATTCAAACCCCTGGAGAAAAGTGTTCCAACGGGAATGGGATGCCCTTCCAGCCGCATATCATGAGAGTCTGCTTCAAACATAAATGGCTCATACAGATGAAGGATTTCTAGCTAAACAATGAAAAATTAGAACAGCTTACACCTTAGTCAACTTTAATTTTTAAATCCCATGAGCAGCTTTTCTATTTAGAAATGGGCTTTTGCGACAAGTTGATAAATATTTTTAATGGGTGCAATAATTTTGATATAGTTATAATAAGATAGGTTATATTATTAGTATAAGGGATTATATGACATCCAACTAATGAATCACTAATGGGTACAACTGATGGGTCCCTTGTTTGGTCTTCTGTCGATGGAGTGGGCCGGACTGATGGGCCC